ATTTAACAATTTCATGAATGATTCAAAATTTAATCCTAAATGTTCATTTAGTAGAAAGCTAAAATTTATATATAAGCTAAAATTTATTTATGTATATATTTATTATATTTGAAATAGCATTTAATAGAAAATTCTGTATAACTTAAATTTAAATGCAGTAATTGTTCAAAAAATTTTAGAAGGCTTAGCAATAGAAGGTATAATTGTAGCATTGTACATTTTAATTGATAATGATAAATCGATCATTAAAAATGCATATATGCTTACATCAAGTTCATTTTTAGATTGGCAAAAAGCTATTATCTGGCAAAATGTCAGGTTATTAGAGATTGATTTAGTAAAATCTGCTAGTGATCCAGTCTATATGTTAATGGACAAACACATATGCATTTATTTAATATTCCGGCAGCCTATTAAAGGTTGGTTATTACTGTTATGTGCTGTCTAATTAGATTCTGACTCATAGTGACCCTCTGAACAACAGAATGAAACATTGCCAGGTCCTGTACCTGACAGAGTGGTGGACTGAAAGTTGTTGTTGTTGTTAGGTGCCATCAAGTTGGTACCGACCCATAGTGACCTTATTCACAGCAGAACGAAACACTGCCTGGCCCTGGGCTAACCTCACTACTGTTGGCACGCTTGAGTCCATTGATGCTGCCACTTGGCCAATCCATCTCATTGGGGCCTGAAAGTTAGACTTGAGCTATTATGAGTGATACATTCTCATGATTCTAATTAGAATATCTCAGGTATGAAAGTTAAATCTATGCTAGTTTAAGGTTAAGCAAGAGAAATCAACTGCTAACGGTGGTTGAAATATGAAACTAATACGCTGTAAGCTATCCTACCCATAGAAGACAATAATAGGTATGAATTTACACAATATTCAGCTTTAATTAATTTTTCAAGAAAAAAAGAATCTATTTGGATATAAACAATTGAAACAAGCTCAATAGTTGAGTAATGAACTAATTCATCAAAAACTTGTAACTATGTTCACAAATTATATAAATTTGAAATTTTATAAACAAAATTAATCCATTTAAGTTATCAAAATAGCCATATTTATTCAGGCACACATATTTCAAAATTTAATGAAATAGTAATACTCACTTTTTTACTTTGTCACAAAAGGAGTCCAGAGTCATATTACCACCTTGAGGGACTTCAGCAAGTTGAATGGTCCAACCTATTGGCTTAAAAAAACAAAACAAAAAAATAATTTGGTGTGAAGGGAAGATTAATACAATTCTATAATTTTTATTGTATTTTAAATACTCATTCTGTTTTTTGTTTTTTGTTTTTTAATTTAGGAAAATGCAAGGATCTTTAAGTATATACTTTTAGTTTTAAGAAATGTATACAACTGAGAAATCAACACTCTCAATTAAAACACATAGCATCATTTTTAAAAGTTCTATCATATCAATCCAATATCTATCTGACAACTACTTTTATTCAGATTTCTACCATAGGTTAGTAATGTGTTTTTTTAAATCTTTTACTCCTTTCAATTAATATGTACTTGAATGCATTTTATTTTTTAGAGTAGTTGTAGTTTTTATAAAATTGCACACAGATACACAGAACTGTCATACCTGTTTTTAAACATATTTAGTGTCTTTTTCATTTCAAAAGTTACATTTTTCAGTGCCAGAATTTCCATTTATTTTTGTTTGTGTACTTGGTTTTGTTTTGTTTCTTTCTGCTTCTAATTTTATGCTAAGATTCTTTTTTTGTCCTCTCCTTTTGATTATCTTCTGTGTTTTCTCCCTGAACATGTTTTTAATTGTCATCTGAAAGTTCCTTTATGTTCATTCCCACATCTTTATTATCTCAGAGTCTCTTTTAATTGATGGTTTTCTATTTTCTTGAATGTAGGATACATTTTTTTCTCATTATTTATGCATCTATATTTTTGCATTACATGTTGGGCATTTTTGATGAAACATTGTGGATTAAGTTGTCTTTTTTACACAGTGTACAATTTCCCCTGGAAAGCAGTTAAGATTCTGTTGATCCTGTCAACCTTGACTTTTTAAAATTGTTAGTGTGTGGTGCTTACTACAGAGCATGATTTTCACTTTTAAGTGTTGGTATTTTGGGGTCTCAACTGCATACCTAAAGCTCTCAGCTCTATCCCCCCTAAAGCTAAGCTGAGACTCCTGTACTGCAAAAGTTGTACTTGTATGTGGTGAACACCATGACTCTTCAGTTATCAGCCCATAAAAGGCAACATCTTTTAAGCCTTGCAAACATATCCCAGTACATGTCAAGAAACTGCAGTAAATCCCCACGTAGACTTCTACTCCACACCCATTGTATAGTTCCCTTGTCTTCAGTACCCTGCTAGGCGATTTTCGACTTCTCGGTACTCCAATATATTTTGTGATGGCACTGTTTAAATTGGACTCTACCACTTTGCATAGTAACAGCAATGTTTCGACAGGCAGGAAACCATGATCATCAAGGCCAAATTTGTGTTTCTTTTCTCTCAAAAATAAATATCGTAGCATGCCTGTTGTTTAATACCTAGACTCGATTGCTTCATATCCACCTTTTCAGCTGTTTTCAGTGGCAAGACTAGTGTTGCACTTGCTTCATACACTTGATCAAGAAGTAGACAATCACAAGATTCATTTGATAATTCTGTAAGACTTTTAATCAGATTAGTTGAGGTGCTACTTTCTCTGTGAATATCTCAAGCAGAATTAGGTGTTTCTTTGCCTCTGGTGGTGGTGGTGTGCTGTGGAGTCGGTTCTGACTAATAGTGACCCTGCATAGGGTTTCCAAGGCTATACATCTTTATGGGAACAGAAAGCCTCATCTTTCTCCCACAGAATGGCTGGTAGTTTCAAACTGCTAACCTTGAAGTTGGCAGCCCAACTCGTAAGCACTATGCTACCAGATCTCCTTTCTTTCACCAATTTATTATTTTATTGTTGCTATTATTTGTTTGTACATTTATTTGAATAGTTAGCTATTCCAGGAATGGGGTACTAAATCTTTTTTTCTTGGCATCCATTCTGTCTAGTATGTCACATATATATTTCAAGGACTTGATAAATAGTTGTTGAATAAATTAAGAATCCTTATAGTATAGTCTTGTAAATGACAGCTACAATAACAACTTTCTTCTTTTTACTCTTTACTCCCTGCTTCACTTGTGTCTAGACTCAGTATAAGTAGAGAGGTTGTCAAATATTATTAGGAGGACTTTATCTACTGAAATCACTGGAAACTGCTAATGAAACAATTAGGATGAATTGCTTAATGATTACTTGATTTCCACCTCTGAGAATGATCCCAAGAAGTTCCCTGTCATTAGTGTAATATAAAAACCTCTGGGTAAAAAGACATTCTTCCTACCAAGGATGATATAAAATTTTAAATCACAGCAGCATGACAAAAAAGAAACACAATAAAATGCTTGAATGTTTTTGTGTGTACATAACAAAATTAGAATAGAAAACACTATTAGCTAAATCTCCAACTAAGATATTTTCTTCCAGTATGAATATAAGTACTATAATATTTTATTCTGATTGAACAGTAAGTTAAAAATAATATTTTTAAAAAAAAATCTCCTTTCTTTAGATTTTTTAGATTCTTTAGATTCTTTAGATTCAGGCACGTGGATTTTGTAGATAACATTTTTTTTCCCACAAAATTATATTAATGGATTTTTCTCTTTAAGGTTATTTGTGCTTATTCCCACATTTATCTAATACATTAAGTGGTTCTTTTTCAGTTTCATATTTTTTTAGTTTGATGTACATTATACATACCTCTATGTTCCTTGGCAATGCATTTTCCCAATTTCTGGGTAGAAAAGAGCCGCTAGAGAATGGCAGAGAAGGTTGTGTTATGGTCATCTGTCCAGTGCTTTTATTCTTTTCTTTTGACATAAAGTCAGTTGAGAAGGATGGATACATAGGAAGGATGCTACTTTTAAATCCTATATGGTAGTTATGATTCTTATTTTCAAATTCTCTGTGTAAAATAGCATTATTCAGACTAGTGAATGATGGAGTGAAACTATAGAATCTATAGTCATTAGCACCATCATATTTTCCTGTGGGTTTTCCGTGGGAGATTTCTTTATTCATATGTTGAGGTTTTGGTAGCACAGAAGGCTTAAAACCAATTATTGGTGTTTCTCTGTCTTGCTCCAAGGAGAAGTCAGGGATTTTCGAGGTAATTTCATTCAAAGGTAATTGATATGTGTCATCTAATGAATGTCTATGTGAGCCCCAGTTTGGTGCGCTAGATAGACAAAAGGTGTCTTCTTTAATGTTGCTCTGATAGAGTGGAATTTTACTATTGAGTTCATCTACTACTGGATCAAAACCCAGATAGACTTGGCTAGGAGGAAGAGATTGATTTGCAGAGTGAAAATCTTGGTGTTCGGGCTGTTCTTCATATGGCTCATTGGGATTTTGATCCTTTTGCCAATAATGAGCCATTCTGTATTCTGTGTAAATGAGATGATTGATTCTGCTCCAAATATTTCTTTAATGATATTATAAGCGAGAAAAGGAATTCGCCTAGGGAAAAAAACAAAAGAAACATGAATTTCTTTGATTAATTAGAATAAAAGTTCATAAGAAAGAAATATTAACAAATATTAATAATTGTTTTGAAGTTTCTTCTTAGCAAGTAAAATACTTCCTTGAATATTATAAACTTCACCAAAGCTCATAAAATTAAGAATCCATGGGGGAGTATTGATTTTGGACAGGTTCACAAAACTCTTGAGATAGAAAAATACGTTTACTCTAATTACCACAGGAGTTTCATGAATCTATCTGAAGTCAGTATTCCACTTAGTCTACTTTTTCAACTGGATATCTACTTATCTATAACAATATTTGTTGCTGTTGTTAAGTGCTGCTGCGTTTTTCTGACTCATAGCAACCTTCTTTAGGATTTTCGAGGAGACGCTGGTGAGTTTGAACCTCTGACCTTGCAATTCAAACCATCCTTGCAGTCTAGTGCTTACCCTACAGCACCACAACAGGACTCCATAGCAATAGTATCTCCCTTTGTTTTCAATTACCAATAATCATTTGAAACAGCTAAACTTTTGTTTTTACTTGCTGAGTAGTCTTGTTTACATTATCAATTATTTCATCCCTGGAAATATCCTTAGCATCTTAAAATGATTAGCTATATCCCTTCTTCTCCATCTAGAAATTCATTAAACAGGAATAAACTTTCAGCACCCACCCCCACCTCCCATTTTGTTATACCACCTTCATTCAGTTCACCAGTAACCCCTATGTCAGTAAATTCTACTGACATTTTCCAGTCTCTAACTTGTCTCTGTGCAACATATGATTCTTTGATCATGTCTCTTTCTTTCTTCTTAACATTGCTTTCTTCCTTTGGATCTTCCTGACACTTTACTGTCTGAGTTATTTGGATGCTCTAATCAAACACTCCTTTGACTGTTACTGCTTTTCAACTTAACTCTTAAATGTTGAGATATTGGAGAGTATGAGTTTCTTACCTTCTGTGGTTGCAATAACCATCAATATGCCAATAACTCTGACCCAGACTACTTTTTTTTTTTATTACCTACTCAATATAGCCATTTGAATTTGTTTTAACCAACTCAAAGTCCCAAATTCAATTTAAAATGCATGAGACTCTTCTCCTCTTCCAGTGTTTTCTGTGCTAGAAAGTGGCCCAACCATTCACTCAGTTGCTCAGACCAAAAGCCAAAACCGTATCTGTGAATCCTCCCACTTTTTTTATTACCTATTATCTAAACTAACTAAGGAGCTCTGGTAGCATAGTGGTTACGAATTGGGCTGTGAACTGCAAGGTCAGCAGTTCGAAACTACCAGCTGTTCTGCGAGACAAAGATGACGCTTTCTGCTCCCATAAAGATTTACAGACTCAGAAACTCTGTACAGGGTCGCTATGAGTCGGAACCGACTCCACGGCACATAACAACAACAACAACATCTAAACTAACTACTAGATCGTGTAGGGTAAGGTGTTGTTGTTGTTGTTAAGTGCCTTTGAGTTGGTTCGAACACACAGCAACCCTTCTTAGGAATTCCAAGGATCAACTGGTAGATTTGAATCGCCGACCTTGCAGTTGAGACCTTATCCTACAGTGTCACACCAGGACTCTAACAGGTATCTTGAATGTACCACAGCCAAAATCCTATCCTAGTCTATACCTTCATTGTTTCACGAGGGATGTTGTACTGTCTCTAAATAGCATTGATTTTTTTTTCTTCATTCATTCTAGTGGTCTTTAATCTACTTTTCACACTATTAAAGTGATATTCTATAGCTCTCATTGTCTCAGTAAGAATGTTGTGCTGTCTCAAAAACAGCATTGATTTTTTTATTGTTGTTGCCATTCACTATTGTGTTCTTTAATCCACTTTTCACATTGTTAAGGTGGTATTTTTAAGACACTACCCAAATAATGCTCTGGTTACTTGGTATCCTATACCTTTAGCAAAATGCCAATAATAGTACACATTTTTTTAAATTCAGAACCACCTACAGAGTAGATGAATTAGGTTTGCTAAGTGGTTACGAGTTGGGCTGCTAACCTAAAGATCAGCAATTCAAAACTACCAGCAGTTCCATGGGAGAAAGATAAGGTTTTCTGCTCCAGGAAAGATTTACAGCCTCGAAAACCCTATGCAGGGTCACTATGAGTTGGAACTGACTCCAAAGCATACCACCATCACTATCCCACCAAACTTTATTTATCAAGTCAGGATTTGGGGGTGACTATCAAAAGATATAAGTAAAAAATATAAAGTATTAACCAAAATATTAATCTATAAAATATTATCCTAAAGTATTCTTCTAATTCATGGGTCACAGATGCATTATTATTTGGTCATAACATTTCTTTTGGCATTTCTACTTTTGTTATTTCCAAATTTATGTTGTTGTTGGTAGGTGTCATCTAGTCAGTTCTGACTCATAGCAACTCTATGTACAACAGAATGAAACACTACCAGGGTCTGCACCATTCACATAATTGTGAGGTTTGAGCCCACTGCTGCTGCCACTGTGCCAACACATCTCATGGGGGGGGGGTGTCTTTCATATTTTTGCCGACCATATACTTTATCAAGCATGATGCCATTTTTCCAAAGATTTGTCCTTTCTAATGACATGTTCAAAGTATGTGAGACAAAGTATCACCATTCTCACTTAAAAGGAGCATTCTGGCTGTACTTATTCTAATACACATTTGCCTGCTCTTCTAGAAAGCTTATTTGACCAAGGCAAATTCTATTCCTTCACTTGTCTCTGCTTTGCAACTCAGAATCTATCAATGGGTGTGACTTTATTCCTGACAGCAGGCCTGACATCCTAGTGCACAATTTCTTGGCCCTACAGGTTCTGCTTTGTTTAGTATGATAAATATAGCTATATTAAAGTTACTTTTTAAATTGATGTTAGTATTAAATATTTTGATTATTTAGGTTTTAGAAGCTATTTTAAAATTTTGTACCCATAAGGGAGGTCTCAGGAGTACAATATCAGTGGTATAAGTTGTCTGATTCTGAAGTTGAAGGTTCCTTTTTGGCTGTATTGTGTTTTTTATACTGGTAATAGCAGTCCTGGTTTGGCGCTGTGGATTAATGCATCAGACTGCAAAGATGTTTGAACTACAGGGTCGGCAATTCAAGCTCAGCAGCTGCTCCTTGGAAACCCTATACAGAGTCACTATAGGTCAGAACCAACTCAATGGCACTTAACAACAACAAGAAGTAATAATAATGATACAAAAAAATGCTTGGCACACCTGCCATGTGCTGAAGTACCCCTGATGGATTAAGCTTTGCGCTGATGATAAAAAATGTCAGTGGTTCAAAATCACCAGCTGCTCTATGGGAAAAAAAAGAGGAGGCAGTTTACTCTCGTGTAGATTTATAGCATCAGAAACCCAATGGCGATGTTTTCCTCTGTCCTATAGGGTCTTTATGAGTGAGACTCAACTTGATGACATTTTTTTTTTTTTTAAATGGGTACCCTATGCTTTTGTTCTATGTACTTTACATGTATTTGCATATTTAATTCTCACCAGAAAGATTCACTGGGCAAATTATTGAATGATGCAGAAAGCATCAAGAGAAGATGGAAGGAATACACAGAGTCACTGTACCAAAAGGAAATGGTTAATGTT